CCAAATTCTGTGGTTTTAGCCTTCAAGTTTAGATTTGCCATTTTGGGATCTCTGAGAGATGATATTGGATTCAATGGATTTCATTATTGGATTTGGAAGGTTTCTCAGAGTTTTCTAATTCAGGGGCTTCCTCTTTTGATTTGGGCTTTAAATATAGGTTTGGCAAGTAATTAATATGGTAATTTTATTTGTGAAAATTACAACAATCCCTACTTTAATTATTCAACGTTTTAGAATCAGGTGGAAAGTTTATTCTTTCAAAAATCAGATGTTTTATTTTAATTAATATTTTTATAAAATAAATATTTTTACTATTTTCTCTCTCTAAAGTATCATTATTCAAACCCTAAACATCCCAATCATTTCACATTTTCCTTCCCCCTCTCCCCTTTCCCTCTGGCGGCTTCGACAACAACAAGGGGAAAAAGACTGCTTCGGCTCTAATGATCACTCAAACAGCAGCTGCATTGGATGGCACAACATCGCCTCGTGCGGCAGCGTTGCCACTGTTTTCCCTCCCCTCTCCCTTCGGTGACTTCGACATCAGCCAGTGGAAGAAGACTCTCATCTCCTTCCGATGATCACTTAGACAGCAGCACCTCGCGCGGCGACGTTGTCGCTGCTTTCCCTCTCCTCTCCGTTGTTTGTTCGTTGATTTGAAGTATTTATGGTGAAATTATGGTGGTCGACGATACAGATATATATTTTCATAAAATCAGATCTGGATCTCAAAACCAGATCGTCTTCGTCTTCCTCTTCCCCACCGGCTGACTGAGTGGCGCTGCATTTTTTTCTGTGGGTGTGAAGATGATTGGATGATGGTGACGTGGTGGTGGTGGAGGCGCCGTTAGTGAGTGTGCAACAGGTGGTCTGTGGTGATGTGAAGTGGTGGTTGGTGTGCAGTACGGTGGTGTGGCGATAAGGTGGTTGTTAGGTCCTGGTGGTTGTGAAATTGGTTACCGGTGGTGGTGGTGGTTGGTGGTGGTTTATGCTGCGACGATTCTATGGTTGTAACTGTGATGGTGGATCTGGCGGGATTTGGTGATTTTTAGTGGTGGTTTTGGAAATGGTGGTGTTACTACTAATTGTCATGGTGTTTGGGTGGTGGTGATGTTGGTCGTGGTGATTGTCGTAGAGGCGGTGGTAGTGGTTGTGGCAATAGTGCAGAGGTGGTGGGGGTGGATTTGGTCATTTTGGTTTTCTGTGACTAAAAAATAATCTGTGACCTTAAAATTCAATAACCTATGATAAAAATATAATTCATAACCAACCATTTCGTTATCTGTGACCGTGAAAAAATCTGTGACCAAATACTTCGGAAATCTGCGTTTGTGTGACTTTCTGTGACTGAAAATATAATTTGTGACCTTAAAATTCGGTAATCTGTGACTAAACATATAATCCGTGACCAACCATTTTGTTATTTGTGACCTAAAAATTATATAATCTGTAACCGTTAAAAAATCTGTGACCGACTAATTTGAAAGTCTGTGACTGTATGTCCTATAAATTTAAATGTGTTACCAACTAATTTTGAAATCTGTGACCAACGAATTACTTATGACCAACAAAATTTTTGGACTGTGACCGTAAAATAGTCGTTGGAATCAGTCACTAGAATAGTCGTCGAAACAGTCCACGAAACAGTCGCTGGAGAAGAGTGGTGACCAGAATGGCTGCCGGAATAGTCCCTGGAGTGGTATGGGTTGTGAATGTGGAGTGGTCTAATTATATTATATTAGAATTAAGAGCTTGTTTGGGAGGGATTTTTGGGGGAAAATTGATTTTGAATAGTGATATGATGGGAAATGTGTGGTTGAAAAAGAAGATAAGATTATTGATGTGATAGAAAATATTATTTTATTGAAAAATGTGTGGTTGAAAATGAAAATTGATTTACTGTTGAAAA